CGCTCTCCAGGCTGAGCCCAACAAAGGCCTCCCCAGTGCTCAGGTGCTGAGGGCTGAGAGGGGCTGTATCTGGAGAATGAGATGTATTTCAGACACAAAACCCAGCTGTGGGAGGGAAACTGATGCTTTTCAAGTCTGCAAGAAGGAATTATTTCTAACGTTACAGTGCTGGGCCCTCTCCCCCGTTCTTAATGCCATGAAGCAGCTTCTAAATGCACACTTTGCCCATCCACCATGCAACTGCCCCGCCCCTCTCCAGTCACCTGTGCACCCTCAAAACAGCTGTACTGAGAACCCTGCTGGGACCCTTGGGGCTGGGGAGGTCCCTCATGTGCCAACCTGAGCAGTGCGTGAGACCCACTCCCCAGACTGGCCCCTGGCTCACAACACCCTTGGAGCCTTCTGTGTTCTCCTACCCTGAGAACCCAGGCGGGAAATGCGTTTGCCCAGGGACCTCCAGGAATGTCAGGGGACACCCCAGGGCTGTGGTACTGGGCAGGGGCTGGGCTGCCTGGCAGTGTCTGCGTGAGGCCCATCAGGATTCCATGTGCCTGGACTGTCCTTCCTCAAGTCCAAAGGCCCCTGACATCCTCATGCACAGCTGCTGACTGAGTGGGCTTCCAGTGTCTTCTTTTTACCAGAGCTCTCCAAGCAGCTCAGGCATTAGCTTCCTGGGCCAGTGTAGACTGCTCGGCACCAGGGAGATGCAGGGAGATGAGGGTTTAATCTGATTTAGGGGCAGCTGTTCCCAACAGCTGGTGTGTTAAGGGGGTTTGCTCCACTGGGAAGATTCCCCAACGCACTCACGCCTTGTTTGGTTCCTTTCTTTCACCTGCATCTCAAGGCAAAGGCCATGCAATTCCCCCAGAGAGCATTCTAGATCAGTCCGACATGGACTTCGACAAGGAGTCTCTATCATATGGTTTCACCATCCTCGGGTTGGGGGGTGCTCCCTACAGACGCCCTGTGCCAGGCCAAAATGAAAGCCAAGCCCTGAGCCAGCTCTCCCCACATTCATGAGGATATCCTGTTTCGGGCACATGGAGTGGCCCAGCTTGGGTGTCCCAAGGCCGGAAGCCACAGCTGCCTGCTGGTCTCACTTAGCAGCCTTAGGCTTGAGCACTGGGGCTTTCAGAGCCCATGCAAGTCTCTGCCGGCCACTCCGGCCCCATCTGCCCATCTCCAGGCCCTGAGGCCCATCTGTAGCGGGTGAGGGCCTCAGACAAGAACAGTTCTACCAAACAGGTGCAAAACCCCAAACCAAGTGCTGTGGTTTTACACCAAAACCAGCACCTCATAGGGAAAGACAGTAAGAATGGGTTTTCAGATTTAGGTTTGCTTACTGCTACTGGCGTGGGTGTTTACTACACTGGTGAACTTAAATACTTTCTCATACAACTCACAGGTTTAAAAAAACTTGTTGGTTTCACAGACTCCCTTTCCAGAATCACCTGCCAACGCAGACGTGTGATGCAAAGAAAGCCGCAGACACACCGATTACATGGGGTGGCGGAGGGGAGGGCATTCATATTTCAACAGTCTATTTAAGGGCAGTATTTCTTCTCTAAGGGGAAGAAAGTTTGTGTTTTTGAAACGGTAAATATCTCAGTACATATGTCTTCCTCCATGGAGACGGGAGGGGCTGCCATAGGGGTTTCTGTCTCATCACAGACGGGGCACTGGTCACTTCTCTCTAATCACAGACAGCGCAGCATCCCAGGGGCCAGCGATCAGGATCACTCCCTCGCTGTGTCGGAAGGACCAGTCTGAGGACTGTGTCTTAGTGACCCAGCTACTCCAAGGAGATACACCTGCGCCCCTTCCGTCTCCCGCATAATGGGAGCAAAGCTGACATTTCGCTGAAAAGCAGCCTAACGTGCGTGGTGAAATGACAGAGGGCCCGTCCCCACAGGGCACACAGCAGGGCTGGGGCAGATCTGTCCACGGGGCAGGGCAGGGGGGTCTCCTGGCCCCACTATCACCTGGGCGTGCTGGCCTGGCCTGGGAGGACGGGGGCGGCATTAAAGCCGTGTGACCACAAGGGCTCCCTGAAGAAAGCCACTCAGAAATCCAAGTGCGAGCCTCAGAAAGGTGGAGAATGCACGCGTTGATGCCAAAGGCCCTTATTTAGCTTTTTGGGGAAGGATGAGGGTGACAATCATTCAAGATGGGACTTCACAACACATGAAACCCCCATCTGAGGCAGCGGTTGGAAATAAATTACATTTCCTTTGAAGGAAAGCTGTGTGTCTCCAGCACTTTTCTATCAGAACTCCTTCCTGACTGCTTTTCAATTTGTTTGCTTGAAGGCCATAAATACAACCCCAGGGAGTTCTAGAAAAGTCTCAGCGACCTTGTGCAGGAGGTGAGGGACGGAAGCAGAGCACAGCCGTGCGGGGAGGGAAGCGGCCCCTCCGGAGGTTTGGGGTTTGCTTTCCAAACACCTTTGCCTCCTGAGTGGTTGCTGAGGCCTGATTATACCCCATCTCAGGGGAAGCTACATCGTTGCCAGGTTTCCCACCTCCCAGGGCAGGAATATAGATTTCTCCTCATTTCCAGAACATCCTAAGTGCAGGGAGGAAGAGCTGGCATCGTGGGCACCACGGGGACCCAGGGCACCTACGGCACATTGCATGCTGCAGGCTGAGCAGGTCTCTCTTGTGGGGTAAGATGAGTCCACCAAGTTCAAGCACAAACACACTGGGAGCCTGGGGACGGGGAGAGAGGGACGGGCCTGCAGCCAAGCACGGCGACCCGGGGTGCTCTCCAGCAAGCTCCGATCTCAGACAGGAGGAGGAGGGGAGGCCCAATGCACGCGTGAGTCACGCAGCTCACGGCAACGGGAAGGTGGCATCTGAAGGGAGGGACGCTGTCCACGCCGACACCACCTCAACAGGCTGTGGGGGAGAGGGAAGGGTCGTCTTGGCCCTGACCAGCACCGGCGAACAGCACGAGGGCAGAACTCAGCCCCTTCCTCGCCTCTAGAAAATCAACTTCAGACTACAAAGTGGAATATCCATGTTGAGAAAAGTGGGCAGGTTCCAGAGAGGCTCTCAGGAAGCAGGGGATGCTGTTCCCCGCCAGGTGGAGGGCCAGGGCAGGGCACTGGCAGGCTGAGAGAGGAGGGCCCCGGGCTCTACTGGAGGCGCTTGGCAAACATGCCCGTCACGGCCTCCCCTGGGTGCAGGCTGGAGGACAGTGTCAGCCACGGGCAGGTCTCCTGGTGTGTGTGCCGGCTTTGGTCCCATCAGTGTTTCTGTTCTTAACAAGTGCTCCTGTCTCCCCAGCATCCCCTGGCCAGGTGTGAGGCTGGCATTTATCACACGGGTTTGAAACCTCACTGCACCCTGCAACTTTCACAGATGAGGAAAAAGAGCTCAGGAAGCTGGGTGCCTGCCCAGAGCTGTGCGGGAATCCTCTGGAGGGATGGCAGGGCCGGCTGAGTCTAGGGGTCCGGCTTTTTCATCAGACCATGTTTCTCCCTAACAAGGTTAGCAGCAGCTCCTATGCAGACATAGGGAATGACCTCCAATGTGCAGATGTCACAAAAACAGGAAGACTGGTATCTATACTGGATGACAGAGGCCGAACCATGCAGACCTCATCAGGCTGGGCAAAGTCTCAGAAGAGGGAACTTCAACGCAAGGCCCTTGTGCTGAAAAGCCACTGCCCAGAACTGGCCTGTGGACTAGGGGCCCTGCAGGAAATGCAATTCAATAAGATCCTGCTCTCTTCTGCGTCTGAGAACCCTGCGATTGGTGAACGACCTGCCGCCTTCGCCCTCCTTTCCGGTGCATATACACTGTGCACATACTTGGGAGATAGGACACTGCACCTGGTTTTGGGGCAAATGACTCAGAAACTTGTCACTTGCTCGCCCTTGGGCTGCTCATTTCCTGGGATGAAACAGAGAGAAGGACCAGGGACAGGACTGGGGTGCTGGGCGGGGCAAACCACTTGTCCGCCCCAGCACCTGAGGTCCGAATCAGAGTTCTGTGCCTGTGGGATGTTCCTGCTGCAGCCAGGTCTGCACCACACCCCTCCACTCCCCTCCAAGTTCAGTCTCTGTGAAGCTGAACGTCGGGGTGCAGACGTGTCCAGATCACCCACAGGGTTACACAGGCCGCTCGTGTGCCTCCCCCAGCTGGCTGTTTCTCGTCAAGGCAGAGTTTTAATTCTGAACAGGAAAGGTGAGGTGGATCCTGCAGTGGTGATGTGTCATCATCACGTCACAGAACTGAACATGGAAATGAACAACAAAAACTCAACTCCCTTCTCAAACACGTCACTCCTAACTCCGCCCTCGGTCCTTGCCTCTCCCAGCCTTGGTGGTAATTAGCTTGAAAGTGGGAACAAGAGTGTGGTCAGCAAAGAAAGGGCTTCTGGTTAGACACCGAAATACAAACAGATTAGCCAGCTGTCTTCTTTATTTGGAAAGACCCTTGAAACTGCCTTTCCTTTTGCTACTAAAACTCGGGCCCTAGCAAGCGGCCGCGCGTGGAGCAGATGGACGTCGCTGAGAATGGCAGGGGAGGGGCTGTGTTTTCTGAGGGGGAGTCATGGCGGCCCGTGCTGGGGACCAGGAAGGGAAAGAGCCAATCTAGCATTCAGGTTGTGGAAGGCAAAGTGAAACAAGAAGTCATTTGGGAAAATATTATATTATAAACACATAGAATAATATGTACACAGTCATATACATCCCAAAGAGAAGCCTCAAGGAGTTCCGTTTCTTCTCAAAAGAAGCTTCACTATGATAAAGCATTCCTATAGTGGGAATTCACTACAATGAAATAATTTAACAATTTCATTTATGCTCTATTTGTGTCCACTACAGAGTCTACGGTGAAGGCTGTGTGGAGCGAGTGTGTCTAGTGGATTCGAACACCAACGCGCTCTTCAAAAATAGGCAATGACCTTTTTTTCTTTTCTATTCACATTTACAATAGCTACACAGTGATGAAACGCAGACTGAAAAATCAACTGGCAGGACGATGGGACTGCTGCACCTGTTATCCTTCTGGATACGAGTGAGCTCCACTTAGCTTCGTTAAGATTAGAAATTTCCATGAAACACTTACCCACATATAAATTATGTGTAAAGCTTTATTTTTTTCCCCACCTACTTTAATTTTTTTTAAAAAGTGAAAGAAGAGGAAAAACTCTTATAAAATATAAGGTTTAATATATGAGAGCAAGGAACACCCCGGAGGCTGCCAGCGCGTGCGGCTTTGTGTTTCTGTGCTACAGGAGTCTAGTGTCCTCATCTTCCATCGTGACAACCCTTCTCCCCGCGTCACACTGCCAACGGGCTCTGGGCAAAGCCGCCCCGTTTGCTTTTAATCTAAGGGATGCTGTGGTTTGGCTGACTACGTTTGACTACCACCACGGAAGGCGGCGGACGTCTGAAGCGGCCAGATACCGCGACGATGGAAATCAGGCGAGGTACTAGCGTGGAGGGCCGGGCTGCCGGGTCAAGGTTGCCTGGGTTCTCAGGAGCCAGTCTGTGCCACAGAACCATCGGCAGCTGCCTTCCGTAAGGCACCTCGGTCTGGCATTCGGAAAACCAACCCGTCTTGCCAGAGCCCCTTGGTCTTGGTTAGCAAAAGCCGTATCGGATCTACATCATGCTTCCAATCATGAGAAACCACATTCCTTCTTTCTCCTTTCTAATACACTTCAGCGTGTCTTTTTTTTCTTTCTCAATTTTAATAAGCAAATTGTACCACCGTCTTATTCTGAGATGCTCCTTTTTAAAAGCTGTAGATCACATTAATGGAAGTGTTTACTGCTGGGAATATTTTCCATGTACAATGATCTGTAACCCTCTTATCTCAACTAGTTGCACATTATTAGTTCACATCCAGTTCAATTTATAAATTAAGAGAGGTGCCATTTGTCTGTACAAAAATCAATGCATATTTATGAACTTCTTTTATTCAAATATATTTTCACACATCTTATCTAAATACATAATACAGAAGCCTGTGTGACTTGGGCAATGTGGCCCAGGAGGGCCTGAGACTAACACATCCACCTCGGCAAAAGGACATAAAATCTCTCTTACGGTCGGAAAAAATAGCCTTTTGTGTATTTACTTAGTTTACGAAATATACTCGAAATGCTATTGTTAGCTGAATTTGTGATTTCCTTTTGAATTTCTGAGTTATTCTTATTTATTTTTCCCATTTTGTTTTTGCACCAAGGAGACCGCAGTCAAATAATACTCAGCGACTGATTTCCTCTCTTTGGACTGAAAAATTAAACAGATACTAAATTATGACAGTGAATTTAGAAAGGAGGGCTCCAAGGGCTTGAAAGAACATGTCTGGGATAATATGATGCTTCTAAGAGTATTGCAATCACATCGTGGCAATCACCGGAGCGTGCCACGTAACTACCTCCTCGGCTAATATGCTTTCTTCTCGGTGATGACTAATCATGTTCTATTAAACAGCAGTAATGCTGGAAGAACTCAACTATACAAGTGTAATGAAGCCAGTATTCTCCCTGGACAGATTAGCTACAACTGATTTGACACATACCATCATAGGGGCTTCAAACCTGACAAACTGTGTGCTTGCTTCTGATTTATGCCGTCAAGCTCCTCAGAGAAGAGATGGAATCCAAGTGTTCCGTTTGCTAGAGGTGAAATGTACTATGTGCTTAACTGCCAGTTAACGAAAGTTGCCCCTTCTCCTTGTTCCTCGCCTCCCCTCCCCCTCACGTCCCCGTCCCTTGTGCCACCAGGACAAGGGTCCTGCGCCATGTGCTATCGTCAAAGGGCCGAGGCCCGTCGCTCTCTCTTGCTTGTGGTTTAGGGGAAGTTTATGAAAAGGAGCCACTTCTGCAGTCTCCCGGCCGCCTCTTCGCCCCTTGAGGATGTCCAGGTTTTGTGATTTTTGTTTGGGGTGACAGTGGGTGGGCGGGAGGGAGGCGGCCACCAGGAAGAGGGAGGGGATGCGACGGGACTCACGTGCTGCGAATTCCGAGCGAGTATGCGGCAAGGCTGCCGCGTCCCGGGTGTGGCGAGCAGGCGGGCACGGCTGTTCCTCAGATGATGGTGGGCACCCTCCCGCTGCTGTTGTTCCGGTTATTGTTTCTCCTGGACAGGTTGGGAGTGGCCATGAGCACGAAGCGTTCGTCGGGGCAGCCGTACTGCAGCAGCACGTCGATGCACTCCTGGCTGGAGGCCTGCCGGGCGTAGGCCAGTGCTGTGTTCCCGTGGGCATCTCGGGCCATGACGTCCACCCCGTACTGCGGAGGTAACGGAGCCCACATTAGTATCCCGGGGGATGTGATGGAAGGAGGGGGCAGGGACGCTTTCTCTCAGCCCTTGTGCGTGGCTTGTGCTTGGACAGCGGGGCCAGCTACAGAACTGGCTGGCACAGCCTGCACCCGTGGCCAGCGGATTCTTTTAAGGAAAGAACGTGTCTTCTTTTCAACTGAAAGCCCCTCCTTTGTGCAACATTAAGGAATCAAAGGTAACTTTAGTTTTGCTGTTTCTATTTTGACTTTCCAACTGCACAAAGAAAAAAAAGATCACTGTTTTGATCTCAGAATTTTCATTATAAGAAACATACAAATAACACATAAGAGCTCAAGCAGAAAAAAAAATCACCCGTAATCTTGCTATTCAGAGATAACCTTTGTCAATTAGTGGATTTCCTTCCCATGGGTTTTCTTTGAATCTAAATGTGTATGTGCCTAATTGAGATAAGACTATACAAATACTTTGTATGGTTTTTCATTTTTTATTGATCACTATACTGTGATCATTTTCTTGCATCATTAAACATTACTCAGAGGCCGGGCGCGGTGGCTCACGCCTGCAATCCCAGCACTTTGGGAGGCCGAGGCAGGCAGATCACGAGGTCAGGAGATCGAGACCATCCTGGCTAACTCGGTGAAACCCCGTCTCTACTAAAAATACAAAAAATTAGCCGGGCGTGGTGGCAGGTGCCTGTAGTCCCAGCCACTCAGGAGGCTGAGGCAGGAGAACGGTGTGAACCCGGAAGGCGGAGCTTGCAGTGAGCCGAGATCGCGTCACTGCACTCCAGCCTGGGCAACACAGCGAGACTCTGTCTCAAAAAAATAAAAGAAAAACAACAAAAAACACTACTCAGAAGCACGACACGAGCTGTGTGCAGCGGCTCACTGCAGCCCAGGAGTTCAAGATTAGCCTGAGCAATATAGGGAGATCCTGTCTCTAGAAAAAAACACATTTTTAAAAAACTAGCTGGGCATGGTGGCATGTGCCTGTGGACCCAGCTACACAGGAGGCTGAGGTGGGAGGGTCACTTGAGCCTAGGAGGCAGAGGCTGCCGTGGGCCGAGATCACACCACTGTACTGTAGCCTGGGCAACAGAGTGAGACCCTGTCTCCCCACCCCACAAATAGCATGACACAGGCAAGTGATACAATATTCCACCACAGGAACAGAATTCAGAACTCTCCCCTCAACCGTGCATACTCTGTAAACATTATCACTGGAGCTGGGTGCAGTGGCTCAATCCTGTAATCCCAGCACTTTGGGAGGCCGAGGTGGGGGGATCATGAGGTCAGGAGTTTGAGACCAGCCTGACCAACATGGTGAAACTTCGTCTCTACTAAAAACACAAAAATTATCTGGGCTTGGTGGTGTATGCTTGTAATCCCAGCTAGTCAGGAGGCTGAGGCAGGAGAATTGTGTGAACTCAGGAGACGGAGGTTTCAGTGAGCCGAGATCGTGCCACTGCACTCCAGCCTGGGTGACAGAGTGAGACTCCATCTCAAAAATAAATAAATAAATAAATGAAAATAAATAAAAAATTGTCACTGGAAGAAACAGTACCCGGATGTATGTCCTCACACAGAATCTTTCTCAGGGCTAAAGTACACAACATTTTTAAGCTTTTTGCTCATGAAAAAGTGAATTCACTTCCACTTCTGCCAACGCACAATGTGTGGGAGTCTGAGGCCACTCAACAGCATGGAACCAGCGCCATCAAAGGAATTTTTGCTCAGTTGGAGGAGGAAACATGGCCTGTAATTTATAACTGTGTCCTCTGCTCCCACCACCAATTCGTATGTTTAAGTCCTAACACCCAGTACTTTCGCATGTGACTGTATTTGGAAATAGAGCCTTTATGGTGGTATATGAGCTTAAATGAGGTCACAGTAGGGTTAGTATTTGTATGAGAAGAGGAAGAGGCTGTGCTGGGAGGCTGATACCTGTAATCTCAACACTTCGGGAGGCTGAGGTGAGAGGACTGCTTAAAGCCAGGAGTTCAAAACCCATGGGCAATATGGTAAGAACCTAACTCTACAAAAATTTAAAAAAAAATTGCCATTCATGGAGGTGCATGCCTGTGGTCCCAACTACTTGGCAGGCTGGTGGGGGACTGCTTGAGCCCAGGAGTTCGAGGTTACAGTGGGCTATGATTGTGCCACTGCACTCTAGCCTGGACAACAGAGCAAGACTTTGTCCCAGAAAGAAGGAGGGGAGGGTGGAAAGGAAAGATCTCCTAGGAGCAAGTGCAGAGGAAAGGACCTGTGAGAACACAGGGAGAGGGCGGCCGTCTACCAGCCACGAGAGGCCTCACCAGGAACCATCCCTGCCGGGCCTTTGATCTTGTACTTCCAGCCTCCAGAACTGTGAGAAAATAAACGTCTGTTGTTGAAGCACCTGTCTGTGGTATTTTGTTATGGCAGCCCTAGCACACTACACACAACTCTTATTTAATTTGCATTACATCACATGTATGACTAATGAGTAAACGGTGATATCTTTGATTTTGATGTAGTGTCTGTATATCTCATCTCATTCTCCAACTGGACCCATCAAAAAAGTCAGATCAAGGCCGGGTGTGGTGGCTCACGCTTGTAATCCCAGCACTTTGGGAGGCCGAGGCGGGCGGATCCTTGAGTTCGGGAGTTCAAGATTAGCCTGAGCAATATAGGGAGAAAAAATACAAAAAAAAAAATTAGCCGGGCACGGTGGCGGGCGCCTGTAGTTCCAGCTACTCAGGAGGCTGAGGCAGGAGAATGGCGAGGACCTGGGAGGCGGAGCTTGCAGTGAGCCGAGATCGTGCCACTGCACTCCAGCCTGGGTGGCAGAGTGAGACTCCGTCTCAAAAAAAATAAATAAAAAAATAAAATAAATAAAAATTAGCTGGGTGTGGTGGCGGGTGCCTGTAATCGCAGCTACTCAGGGGGCTCAGGCAGAAGAACCGCTTGAACCTGGGAGGTGGATGTTGCAGTGAGCTGAGATCGCACAACTGCACTCCAGCCCGGGCGACAGAGCGAGACTCTGTCTCAAAAACACACAAAAAATGTCAGATCAAAAACATGCAGAAGCCTGCAGCACTCCACACGTGCGGCTGTAGAACGCTGCTGCCGTGCGGGACTGACCTATCCTGCCTTGCGAGTGGAGACAGAAGAGCCTCCAGCTGGGTGTCCCACCTCCGGGTGCCGTCCCCACTTCTGGGCACACGCTTGCCTTCCCTACCTGGGCAGCCTCCCTGCAGGTGGAGCCTGCCTCTGGTGGGGACCTGCCTCGGCTGAAGCCCCAGGGGTCCACGGGCAGCCCCTAGGTGGGCACAGCTTCTCAGACGTAGCTCCCGGGTGGCACAGGCAAGGCCTCTCTGCTCAACCACTTTATCCTTCTCTTTTACTCATTCAAGCATTGTGCCACATGCTTCAACAGGAATGTACAGAATACTTTCCCCCAGTAGAAATTCATCAGAATGGTTCAAAAGAAGCCCTCTGACAAACTCCTGCCACATCAGACCTCAAAGTTGAGGGTCCAGTATTTCTCTGTTAAGTGAATAAAAACACCAAAGATTTGGAAATGGGGAAACCCTACAAGCCATCCCGTTAATACACCGCCTTCTCTCCAGAAGATGATGGAAATGAAAAAGAGGGACACCACCAACCCTCCCTGACAAGGGGCAATCACAAAGTGGCAATTTTCAGAAACTCTGACAAGTACTGTACAAGGAGGACCGACTGTGTCTGTATAAGGCCCTCTGTTCTTCAATCGGAGTTTCCCATTAGGAACTGTTCCCACTTGTGGACCGAGAACAACAGCCTTCTGCCAGAAAGATGCCCACGGAAGCAGAACAAAGCAGACAGTGCCCCCTGTGGCCTCGTCCTCTGCCAGGGGTGCCGACCACCTACCCAGATCAGGAGCTGTGCTAGGACCACATTCCCCTTGCGGCAGGCCAGATGCAGCGCCGTGCGGCCGTCTCCTTCCCCGCAGGTCTCGTTCACCTCGTCCCGGGAGCCGTGTGCCAGCAGCAGGATGGCCGTCCGCAGGTCCTCGTCGGCGGTGGCCCGCAGCAGGTGCTGGCCCAGGGACAGCTCCGTGCAGGGTAGTGGGGCCAGGAAGAGCTTCTGCTCGTACTTGGCACGGATCCACCGTTCCTTCTCTTCCCTGCAAAGAGCCACCAGACAGGTGCGGTCACGATCAGGCCCGAGAACACAGGCTGCAAGCACCCGCCCCATGTGGTCGGGAGGAGCCGAGAGGGAAGTGAAGTCACAGAAAGCAAAGGTCCTCACTCGGCACAAAGCTTCCTGGAGGAAAGGTTTATCCACCTTCACAAAACAGTATCCTCACCAGCAGCATCAGCCCAGAAATGCAGGTTCTCAGGTCACGCCCCAGACCCCCTGAATCCGAACCTCTAGGAGTGTTTTAACAAGCCCTGCAGGGGATTCCAATGGGCCCAAGGTGTGAGAGCCGCTGATCTCAGGCTCATACGCTGTCTTGGTGCTCTTTGTTTCTGTCACTTTTAGTGCAGAATCTATCCTTGGAAAGAAAACTATCAAGTGAGGGCTCAAGGCCATGGCCTTGGATCAGTGGCTCTCACACGCCGACGCACAGGGGGAACCACCCTACTGCCTGGGACTGGCACGATGGAAGCATGGTCTCCGGGGCCGAGAGCTGTTTTACTGTAAGCAGGGCTGTAGTCAGGACTATAGGACACTCGGCTGAAGCTGGGGGGTGGGGGGATGGGACAGCCAGTGCGCTCCCCACACCTGGGGGTGCCCATGTGGTCTTAGCTCCAAACTCCGAAATAGGGTGTGTGTGTGTGTGTGGACTCCCCAGGTTTTCTAAACCCTTTCAGCTGAAGAAAACATGGCAACAGACTCAAGCAGGAGACGGCAGACTCCAATGAGGAGGTTTAGAAGGGAGATGCAGCTTTTGGAATCTCCAGATACTTGGGAAAGGCTTAAGTGGAAAGGATAGAATGTCAGGAATTCCTTAAATGACAAAGAACGGTTGGGTATTCTGAGGGAAACTGTTCCAGGGCCTGGGAAACAAGCAGGTAGCTCCCAGAAGCCAGAGCTGAGCCCAGAGGCAGAGGAGAGGACGAAGCTGGGGAGGGGGTGCATGGGGTTGGTGGTGTGGGGAGCAGATGATGCTGGTGCCTGCCCGCCCCCAGCATCACAACCTGGCTAAGATGGGGCTGCCTGAGCTGGCCAGTGTAATACGTGGTGGTCTCCTCCTGGGGGGTCTACAGAGGATGGGGACCCTGCTACCCATCTGTGGGGAGGGCTGAGAAGGAGAGGACAGGACGAGATGAGAAGTTCAAGAAATAGAAGAGGAAACCGACAGTAAGACATGTTGACGTTGACCCAAAGGAAGGACCCCAGGCGAGCAGCTCCTGTACTCTGGCTACTCACGATGGTTTCTGGTTTCTTAAAAAGGAGTGTGAGAGATACTGAAAACTCAAGACTCTGTAGCACTGCTAGAGGGGGGAAAAAAGGTGGGGCGGTGGGGGACAAGAAATTTACAAAGAACAATGTGAGATTTTACAAGCAGCTCTTGAAATTTTACAAAGATCCCAGGAGCAGAGCCCAGCCAGGGAAGTGCTCCCTGCCTGCCTTTTTGATGAGTATGACAAAGAAAAGAGGCCAGGAGCAGTGGCTCACGCCTGTAATCCTAGCACTTTGGGAGGCCGAGGTGGGTGGATCACCTGAGGTCAGGAGTTTGAGACCAGCTTGGCCAACATGGTGAAACCCTGTCTCTACAAAAAATACAAAAATTAGCCGGTGTGGTGGCAGGTGTCTGTAATCCCAGCTACTCGGGAGGCCGAGGTAGGAGAATCGCTTGAACCCGGGAGGCAGAGTTGCAGTGAGCCAAGACTGCACCACTGCACTCCAACCTGGGTGATAGAATGAGACCCTGTCTCAAAAAAAAAAAAAAAAAAAAAAAAAAAAAAGTAAGAAAAAGGAAAGAAAAGCCCTACATGTAAGAAGGCACCGCAGTTACCCACAGAGACTTTAATAACGCGCTGATTCACAATTGCCCTCTCCAAAATTCAGGTTTCTCCAGGGGAATAATCAGAGTACACAGCTACAAACGACACGGAGAAATCACTCAGGGCCTCCGCGAAAGTCTAGAAAGAAAACTCATTACCCATGACATTTCTGCTTCCGAGGTACAGAGGAAAGGCCTTGTTTACACCTTTTACCCGTGTTTACATTGCACCTAGTGATCTAGTGTCGGGTTAGCCCTAATCTGTTTTTAAATACTTAGGCAAACAAATTCTTCCAGGAGTAAATCTGGATTAGTTTTGCTTCACTTCCTGGTACATGGGAGTGACCCCAGAGTGACCCCCGACTCTTTTCATTTGGAGATTTCCAGGACAAACACTTGGCTACAGCTGAGAACTGACACCAGCCCCCACAAATGCAGCGGAGGCAGCCCCCGCACCCCACTCGGGCAAAAACACAAGCACAAAAGCACTGACAATGTCTGGGAAATACGGGTTCAGGAGACAGACAAAAAGAAGTGCTTCTGATACTGTTTTAAAGGCCTTATTGAAAATGTATTAAACATGTGTTGATGCATTTCATAAATCACAAAAGAGAAGGAGCAAAACGTGAATTAAATGAAAAGGGATGACGGGGAAGGATACGTCCAGACTTTCCAGTTCCAATTTGCTAACTCTCATTTTTTGGTAGGCATTAAAATCACAACTATTTGATTCCGCTCCGATTGATTTTAATAGCCATTGCCAAATCACCCAGGGATAAACCAGATAACTTAACACAGTAGCTACAGTGCTAACTGCAATTATTCAATTTCTTTTTAATATTCGAACACCCCAGCCAAAGAATGAGTACAAACCTACAGCTCCTGAACCCTTCCCTGTGTCAGTATGTCCTCCCCGGGAACTGCTGGAGTGATTTTTTGTCCTCCCATCTCACCCCACAGGCAACCTCATCTGAACTGACAAGCTGATACACATTTGAATGAGCTGTTCTTTACTTTTAAAAATCAGGATTGTTGGCCAGGCCTGGTGGCTCACGCCTGTAATCCCAGCACTTTGGGAGGCCGAGGTGGGCGGATCACGAGGTCAGGAGATGGAGACCATCCTGGCTAACACGGTGAAACCCTGTCTCTACTAAAAAAAAAAAAAAAAAAAAAAAAAAAAAAAATTAGCCGGGCCCGGTGGCGGGTGCCTGTAGTCCCAGCTACTCGGGAGGCTGAGGCAGGAGAATGGCGTGAACCTGGGAGGCAGAGCTTGCAGTGAGCTGAGATTGCAGCACTGCACTCCAGACAGCCTGAAACTCTGTCTCAAAAAAACAAACAAACAAACAAACAAAAATCAGGATTGTTGATACCACCTTAATCCTTCAAGAATGGCCATAATCAAAAAAAATAAAAAAACAGTAGATGTTGGTGTGGATGTGGTGTACAGGGAACACGTCCATGCTGCTGGTGGGAATGTAAACTCGTACAGCCGCTATGGTAAACAGTGTGAAGATTCCTTAAAGAACTAAAAGTAGAACTACCATTTGATTCAGCAATCACACTATTGTATCCACCCAGAGGAAAAGAAGTCATTACATGAAAAAGATACTTACACACACGTTTATAGCAGCACAATTCACAACTGCAAAATTGTGGAACCAACCCAAATGGCCATCAATCAACAAGTGGATAAAGAAACTGTGGTGTATATATATATATATATATACGATGGAACACTACACAGCCATAAAAAGGAATGGGTGAACAGCATTTGCAGTGACCTCCAATGAGAGTGGAGACTATTATTCTAAGGAAAGTAACTCAAGAATGGAAAGCTGAACGTCATATGTTCTCACTGATATGTGAGAGCTAAGCTATGGGGACACAAAAGGCGTAAGAATGATACAATGGACTTTGGGGACTTCGGGAGAAGAGTGGGAGGGGGGCGAGGGATAAAAGACTACAAATAGGGTACAATGTATACTACTCGGGTGATGCGTGCACCAAAATCTCACAAATCACCACCAAAGAACTTACCTATGGCTGGCTGTGGTGGCTTACGCTTGTAATCCCAGCAATTTGGGGGGCTGAGGCGGGTGGACTTCTTGAGGTCAGGAGTTCGAGACCAGCCTGGCCAACATGGAGAAACCCTGTCTCTACTAAAAATACAAAATAGCCGGGGGTGGTGGCGTGCACCTGTAATCCCAGCTACTCGGGAGGCTGATGCAGGAAAATCGCTTGAACCCAGGAGGCGGAGGTTGCAGTGAGCCAAGATTGCACCATTGCACTCCAGCCTGGGTGACAGAGCGAAACTGTCTCTTTCTCAAAAAAACAAAAAACAAAACAAAACAAAAACCAAAAAATTAACCAAATACCACGTGTACCCTAAGAACTTATGGAAAAAAAAATCAGCATTGTATAAACTATGTAATAAAAGGTAGGTCCAGGTTTTGTGGGCCCGAAACCCACAAATGGGAGACTGAGACAGGAGAATCGCTTGAACCCTGTGGAGGGTGGAGGATGCAGTGAGCCGAGACTGCGCCATTGCACTCCAGCTTGGGCAACAAGAGTGAAACTCCATTTCCAAAACAAAAGTTTTCAGCCAGGTGCGGTGGCTCATGCCTGTAATCCCAGCACTCTGGGAGGCTGAGGCTGGGCAGGCCACCTGAGGTCCAGAGTTCGAGGCCTGGCCAACATAGTGAAAACCTGTCTCTACTAAAAATACAAAAATCAGCCTGACGTGGTGGCACACCTGTAGTCTCAGCTACTCAGGAGGCTGAGGCAGGAGAATCGCTTGGATCTAGGAGGTGGAGGCTGCAGTGAGCCAAGATTGCGCCACTGCACTCCAGCGTGGGTGACAGAGCGAGAGTCTGTTTAAAGAAAAGAAAAGAAAAGAAAAGAAAAGAAAAGAAAGCAAAACAGAAGCTTTCAATGCTGACTTCTGAGTCCTTTGGGACTGCAATATTTCAGCGTTTTTTGGACACTAGGAGGTGATCAGGCAGCTAGGGGCAGTCACTGGGCTTTGTGTCTGCATTAGACGTGATTCTTGTTAGCAGCTGAAATCTAACTAGGATGAAAACAGGACTCAGACAAGGGCGCTGGGTTTTTTGGGTGCTACTTCAGCAACCTCACGCATGTCAGTCCCCTGCTGTGACTTGAAGCCCACCTCCTAT